AAGTATCTTTTTAAAGTGAGATTGAGTACAAATCTGTTTAGGTCCTTGAACAATACAAAGGGGTTGCGTGGAATGGTAGGGGCGAAGGATAGTCTCCGGCTCAATAGAGTGGTCTCCTGCAAAGATAAAGGATGGTCGGATAAATTGAAAATCTTTACCGTAGGCGCTGTTTTCTGAGATGAGGGCTGGGACCTACCTCCCCTTCCCCTACAGCCTCTTCTACGTATTTTCTTTTCCTTTTTTGTACTATGGGTGGTCTTAGTGGAAGGGGAAGGCTTTGCACTAAAAAAGATACCGCAAATGTACTAGTGCCAATGGGAGTAGTGAAGTCCCCATACTGTAAATGTGTGGATCATTGAAGGAATGCCACGGGACCACCATCTGGCAGAGCGTTTTTTGCGTCTCTGTCAGAGGGAAACTTTTTGGATCTACACCTTGAATGTGTTATCCCCCGGTAGCCTAAATGAAAAGCTTGAAATAAGCTCCATTTTATAGAGACATTCGCTTCCCTCCAAATGGTGGTTATAAATATCAACACTATATCCTTATACAGCTATTTGTACTTTTTCCAACTAATTTAGGTATATCCCTTTCCTATCCCTCTCTCACTTAACTACGATCCCTTTTATTACATCACAAAGGGATAATAAGGAGATACATAAAATTCACATACTATTATAGCAAGCCCATTTATTATAATGCGTTTTTATTAAAATGCATTTTTCTAACATTGTTTTTATATTTCTATTAATTTTTTATTTATGGTACAATAATCTACCTTTTTTACTACCTCATTGATTTATTCATTATTATTAATAATATTTATTTTCACCTCCATTGTTCCATTCTATTTATTTTTAGATGTACAGTGGGGATCGAAAGTTTGGGCACCCCAGCTAAAAATTTGTATTAATGTGCATAAAGAAGCCAAGGAAAGATGGAAAAATCTCCAAAAGGCATCAAATTACAGATTAGACATTCTTATAATATGTCAACAAAAGTTAGATTTTATTTCCATCATTTACACTTTCAAAATAACAGAAAACAAAAAAATGGCGTCTGCAAAAGTTTGGGCACCCTGCAGAGTTAATATCTTGTACTGCCCCCTTTGGCAAGTATCACAGCTTGTAAACACTTTTTGTAGCCAGCCAAGAGTCTTTCAATTCTTGTTTGAGATATCTTTGCCCATTCTTCCTTACAAAAGTCTTCCAGTTCTTTGAGATTTCTGGGCTGTCTGTCACGCACTGCTCTTTTAAGGTCTATCCATAGATTTTCAATTATGTTGAGGTCAGGAGATTGTGAAGGCCATGGCAAAACCTTCAGTTTACGCCTCTTGATGTAATCCCCCGTGGATTTCGAGGTGTGTTTAGGATCATTATCCATTTGTAGAAGCCATCCTCGCTTTAACTTCAGCTTTTTCACAGATGGCATCAAGTTACCATCCAAAATTTGCTGAAATTTTATTGAATCCATTTTTCCTTCTACTCGTAAGATGTTCCCTGTGCCACTGGCTGCAACACAACCCCAAAGCATGATTGATCCAACCCCATGCTTAACAGTTGGACAGAGGTTCTTTTCATTAAATTCTGTGCCCCTTCTTTTCCAAACGTACCTTTGCTCATTCCGGCCAAAAAGTTCAATGTTAACCTCATCGGTCCACCGAACTTGTTTCCAAAATGCATCAAGGCTTGTCTATATGTTCATTTGCAAAGTTCAAACGATGATTTTTGTGGTGAGGATGTAGAAGAGGTTTTCTTCTGATGACTCTTCCATGAAGACCATATTTGTACAAGTATCTCTTTATAGTGGAATAGTGTACCACAACTCCAGTGTCTGCCAGATCTTTCTGGAGGGATCGTGCAGTCAAACGTGGGTTTTGAATTGTTTTTCTCACAATCCTGTGAGCTGTTCTGTCTGATATTTTTCTTGGTCTTCCAGATCTTGCTTTAACTTCCACTGTTCCTGATGACTGCCATTTCTTAATTACATTCCCGAACAGAGGATATTGACATCTGAAAACGCTTTGCTATCTTCTTATAGCCTTCTCCAGCTTTGTGAGCGTCAACTATTTTCAGTTTCAGTTTTCTAGACAACTGCTTAGAAGAACCCATGGTGCTGATTGTTGGGGCAAGGTCAGATGAGTCTGGGCATTTAAAACCTTTGAGATTGACATCACCTGGTCTTCCCAGACAATGATTGAGAACAATCCATGACACTGGCAGGTCTCAGCTTGGCAAAGGGGGCAGTGCATGCTATAAATTCTGCAGGGTGCCCAAACTTTTGCAGACGCCAGTTTTTTGTTTTCTGTTATTTTTTGAAAGTGTAAATGATGGAAATAAAATCTAACTTTTGTTGACATATATTATGAGAATGTCTAATCTGTAATTTGATGCCTTTTGGAGATTTTTCCATCTTTCCTTGGCTTCTTTATGCACATTAATACAAATTTTTAGCTGGGGTGCCCAAACTTTTGATCCCCACTGTAATTGTCACTTTCTATTTCCCTTCTATCGAATATGCCATTTTTTGGATATATGTTATTATATGTATACATATACACTCGTATACTTTTTAAACCCTTAAGCATTAGAGCTATTCTCTTGTGTGTTTTTATTCCATTTTTATTTCTGTTTTTATATCTTTTTTTATACTTGTATTAATTCTTGCATGATGCAGGAAAACATGTAGGTCCTTAGGACCCAGGAATTACTTACCTCCCTCCCATTCCCTTCACACTATAAAAATGTCAGGGTTCTACTGGGGCTCAGGTCTGAAGAAAGAGCCTATTGAGCATGCTCCGAAATGCATTACCGCCCCCCTCACCTGCTACATCTGACTCCGCTTCCAAGCTTCATTTTTGATGCACAGGCACATCATGGTCTCTACTTCCTGATCCTATAGGCATAGTCTGCTGCTGGACGGCTGGATGTCTCGCCTGGACCTAATTACCACATGATGAGACTTTTCAACCGTTTATCTTGTAAGTGCAAATTTTCCATTGTTAACTGAATAAATTGTCAATACTGCACTTAGAAGCGCCTTCCTCTCTTTTTCTTCTTACAAAGTCCAAAAACACCTGTGTGAATTAAACGTGAAAGTCCAAATAAAAAGTCCAAAAGAATTAAAAGAAAAACAACTCTTTAGAGAATCTTGGTGGAAAGAACCATATATCTACTGGAGAGTGAGCCTGCAATCCCGGTGAGCATATGGTAAATATGGACCCTCACCTTCATATATGGACCCATATGCAAAACAGGTCAATAGGGCATCTCCCCTCCTAATGGGGGTAATGTAGTAATCTCTTCTGTGCAAAATCCTCCCCTTATATATGGCCACAATGTCCTCCAACAAGCCCTCTGAACGATCAGGCCAATTCTGAAAATGGAATATAAAGCGACCATAGTGCAGCAGGTCTGTTAAAAGCTCATAAAAATGTATTGAAATGCACTCACATGGTAACAGTACAAAAACCGCAGCAAATAGGTAGTGGTAAAGCTGTATATTGTGTCTCCTACTGAACTGTCGGCGTTCCCGCTCTGACGTAACCCAAGCTCCTCCCCATGTGTATCGTCACGCATCACGTGACTACATCAAGGTTCTTATTAGGGGTGTTATTTGAGCAGCGCAACACTATACACATTTATAAATTTCATCAAAATATACAGATAAAGTTTAAAAAATATTATTTTACTATTTTAGGCCAGTTTTCCTTTAATAATAAAACAAAATCAGGAGATATCTATTAACATTTACCATCAAATGAATGTCTAAGGTATAATCCACCTGGATTCACTAAGCACTTGCAATGGTATGTATAGTTTTACCAACAAGCCGGAGTTCCACAATTGGGTTTGGGTGTTTTGATTGTGGCCTTCAAGGACGGTTAATGCATACATTGCCATTTTTTAAAACTTCGTTTAACCTCTGTTTGACTTGGTAATTTATTGCAGACTGGATTTCCCTGCTACAGCAAGACATGAAACATTTAGAAGTGGTATATCTATTGCTGCCAAAACATCCTCCAAAGGGCTACTGGTTGTTAGGGAGCTGGCAGCCACTGGCATCCTAACAACCATGACTCATCACAGACTGGCGCATTCAGCGGTAAGCTGGGGATTCCCAGCCGACAGGTCAATGTAAGCAACGGGGAGAACTTTTTTTTAGCAAAAATAAAAAAAAGCATAGCCCCCCCCCCCCCCCCCCATATTTGTACCACACCCTCCATGTATGGTATGGATTTTAGGGAGATTGTCACTGAAAAAACAAGGATGGATTTCCATACCAAACCCTTTTCTGAGCATGCAGCCTGGCTAGCCAGGGAAGTGGGGATGATGAGGTATGCCTCCCCTCATCCTTCTGAATCATGCCAGGCCACATTCCCTAAACATGGGAGAGGTACTTTGCTAGGGGGGACACCATGTCCCCATGTTGATGAGCACACTGGCCTTTTCCCCACAACCCTGGCCCTGTGGTTTTGGGGGTCTGTGGGTGTGGGTCTACCTGAAAGCCCCTTTTAAAAATAAGGCAGCTCCTAGATACAGCTAACCCCCCCACTGTGAATGAGTAAGAGGTAAATAGTAAATATCAATAAAACACATACTTTTTGACAAGTTCTTCATTAAAAAAATAACCCCCCCCCCCAAAAAAAAAAAGTTCTAAATATGTAAACCCCCCGTTAATAGTGTCATTGCAATGCATATCCTCATCAATCATGATGAACAATGTCCTCTGACCTACTGAAAGAGAAAAAAAAAAAAACCCGCCAACACAATTCACTCCATATGATGATTTCTAGAAATTATATGCCCTGGTCCCTGGCACAAAATGTAAACAAAGGGGGTGGTCTTCCAAGCAATATGTCAATGGTGGCAAGTGAGCAACAGGGAGCCAACTGTGCAGCGGTCGACAGGGTTTTTTCTTATTTGGTGGGTCGACTGGTAGACGTGTAATTAGTTTCATTTTGGATCGTTTTTCAGATACAAATTTCATTTTATGAAAACCTAGGCATTCAGCCAGCTTCTACAAACATTTGTGAAAGAATGGGTCGCTTTCAGGAGCTGAATGATTTCAAGCGTGGTACAGTGATATGTTGCCACCTGTGCAATAAGTTAATCTGTGAAATTTCATTGCTAATAAATATTCCACGGTCAACTGTTTAGTGGTACTATAACAAAGTGGAAACAACAGCAACTCAGCCACAAAGTGGTAGGCCACGGGGTCAGCTGAAGTGCACAGAAGTCGCCAACTGTCTGCAGAGGCAATAGCTAAAGACCTCCAAACTTCATGTGGCTTTCAGATTAGCACAACAGTACATAGAGAGCTTCATGGAATGGGTTTCCATGGCCGAGCAGCTGCATCCAAGCCTACATCAAGTGCAATGCAAAGCGTTGGATGCAGTGGTGTAAAGCACACCGCCACTGGACTCTAGAGCAGTGAAGACATGTTCTCTGGAGGGATCCAATGGATTTGTCTGGGTTCGGCTGTTGCCCGGAGGAGAACAGTACTTGCCTGACTGCATTGTGCAATGGATTTCAGATTTGCATGCTTTTTTTTTTAGTTTGTGCATGTGGTTTTGAAATTGACTTTAGTGATATATCCCACATATCATTTACACAATTTATTTTACTTTAATAAACTGTCTGTTTAATTATTGACTATAATATTTCAAAGAAAAAAATGAATATTGTATGTAATAACCGGTAGTTTATTGTCCCCACTGTAACAAAGTAACTGGGTTTTTGGCCTTCTCTGGATGATCATCCATTTACATCTGTTTGCCTATAGGAATGCATCGTTGTCTGTATTTCATCTGTCAACGGATGGATGAAAAAGGGACAGACGGAACACCCTTGTGAAAGGACCATAAATGGAATAGATTTAAATAGATGGCATCCATCTACATCCGTTCCATTTCTACGTCTCTGGATGTTGGCTGTTCTGGTCCTAACCTGAATGGAGATGGATGTAGGCGGATGTAAACCGATGACCTGTTTACATCCGCCTACCCATAGACACACATTGTGGTTCAGTCTGGATGCATCTGAAAAACTGACAGAAGGATCTAGACTGAACGCCCAAGTGAAAAGGGCCTAACAATGTTTACAGAAACTGCTGTTAAATGTGAACCAATCAGCTTATAGACCTAATGCTTTCTCTTCTGGACATCACCATCTTGTCTTACACAGAATAGCAAGGGTGAAGGCATCATAGCCCATGCAACAACTCTGCCCTTCCTGTGCTCTGTCTAGAAATGTTTAGATCCATCTGTTGGTTTTTCAGACATATACATACTGATCCGCAATGTATGTCTATGGGTGGGCAGATGCAAACGGATGATCATCAATTTTACATCAGACTATATCTGTCTCTGTTCAAGTCCATTTGTTTTTTTTTTAAAAAGGAAAATGGTTGCATCTTTTCCATTTAGACAGATCTGAACAATGTAAATGGATGCCATCCATTTAAATCTGATCTGTTTATGTCTGTTTTTAGGAAATACATTTTTTTTTATAAATTTGTCACCTTTGATTGGTCTCTGTAACAACTAAGAAAAACCGGATGTAGACTGATGTAAACTGAACTGATACAAGCTGAATCCATTTTTTTTTTTTAAAAAACATAACTGATCAGATGACGTTGGTGTGAAAAGGGCCCTACTGTTGTCTGCAGTCCGTGAGCATACCCTAGTATCTAGTGGGAGTATTTAGGGGTTCTGGTGAGGCCTTAAAGCTGATTCACACATGTGGGGTGCGTATTGATGCTCAGGTTTCACAGCTATTTGATACAATAGTTGTTCACAGGTTCATTTCAGGTTTACATCAGGTTCTGGACAGGATTAGCTCTCAGGATTATCCTGTTCACACATACTGTATGCGGTTAGAAACGGTTCCTATAGAAGTCAATAGCCTGTAATCTGCACCTGAACTGCACTGTTCAGAAATCGTTCATGACTTTTTCAAACCGCACTGAATCTGCATCACCACATATGAATCCGCACTGGACAGATGTGAACAGGCACCATAGGAAGCAATGTTTTTTTCACATGTTATGTGGAAGGGGTGCGGTTGAAACCGCATCCAATCCGCATATGTGTAAACCGGCACTTAGTGGTTGACCATTGAACAAAAGTCAGAACTTTTTTTGTCTACTTAAAGTAGACTAAGTAGTTTGTACTGCTGATTGTAAGGGTAAGACTATGTTTACATGCTTGGGCAATGGGAAGGACATTTTTTTCCAATTCATTTTAATGAATTCTCCCAGGCTACATAAATAAACCATACAGATATTATACAGAAAAAAAATGCTTGATATGCTTATTATTACTAACTCTTTTCAACAGAATCACAAACATTCTATCCTGTATGGCAGGAATATTGCATAATGCTGAAAAAAGAGAGCTTTGATTATGCAGATTGCTTCTTCTGATGCTGTAAAGCAGTCAGTTGATACTGATAATTTTATCAAGTGTTGTTATCATCCATATCAAGCTTGCCTTACAAAAAAGCTCCTTATTAATCATTGTACTTTTCTGTGGATGTACACTTGAAATATAATAGAAGGTATGCTTGTAACAAAAGATTGCCAAATACAGAATGATTTTGACAGTTATGCAAGGTATACTGATCTATTCTGAATGATTAAAAGCATGTGATTCATTGCCATTGATCTGCAGGGCGAAAAATCAACTGCCCAATGTTACTTTTTAGCTTAGATACAGCTTAAAGTCAGCATAGTTCAAGAACAGAGTTGACACATGCACCATTCCTTTGTATAAACAGATATGAAAACGTGTAATGTTTAAAGTGAGAGCTTTAAAAATCCTTTCCTGCCAGAGCCATTTTTGCATTTTTTTTTCCACGTTTATAAAAAAAACATTTTAGGCCTGAAGATTGCATAAAACCACCAAAACATATAGTGGAAATGCTACATTTCAATATAAAATACATCAAAGTAAACTTGAGGGCACACAAACAAAATAAATTACCCAATTTTTGGTACAATATAAAAGATTAGATTGCATATATACCCAAAATGTCTGAACTTACATTTGCATGTGCCTGCAAAATTGTGACAAACTTCAGTACCCTATATTTGCTATAGGTGACGTGTTAAAAGCCCCCATACAGAGCATCAGTTTAGCGTTGCAGGGGAGGTCTTGTGCTTGAATTACTGCTCTCACTTCTGCATATGTGGCGCAATGTAACGTGTACCACAATCAATGTTTATGTGCATAAGCACCCCAACACATGCATTTACGTTTGTATGTGTGTGTGTGTATTGTATGTAGGGGCCTCAAAAATGTGTGGGGGATTTTATGTGCTTGAATGTAAGTTTAAGTTTTCACAATTCCCGGCCATACCAAGGGTAAGTGAAAGGGGGACCTAGAAGTGACATTATAGATGTTGCTTCCAAGCCAGCAAGAAGGGGAGGAGAGTAGACACTTAACCACCCAGCTCTACCCAGAAGCACCTGTCATGCTGGTCCTGGGACCACAGATGGGCATGCAGTGCCTGGGATACATGGTTGGGGTGCATGAGCGCCTGTTACCGGGGAATTTGGAAGCAATCCAGCTGCGAAGGCACCGGATTGCTTCCATCTGACAGCCAGAAGTCAGCTTGTCAGATATACACACACTCCCAGTGACTGCAGCAACCGGGAGTGTGTAAAACCCACCACTGTCAGGTCTGTGCAACATAATGACTTGGAAGCAAAAGGACAGATAAAAGTATTTGTTTTAAAGCATGTAATCCCTCTGCTCTTAGAATTGGGCAACAGGTGAAAGTTAAAAAAAAAAAAAAAAAAAAATAGAGAATGGTTTGGTCTTTGCTATCACTATGACCATGTTCTTCCATATTATTATATGTCTAACATGCTTTTTCTTTTCTGTTGAAGCCGAGCCCAGAAAATGGTGGCAGGTCTATTTTTCTGTTAATTTTCACTCTTGTGTGGGTGACAGACGCTTGCTGGGTATGCTTATGCTGCTCTCTTCTCTGCCCCACAATCCCAACAGCTTCCACAGCCCCTAATATGAAAGTCTCTTCCCCATATGATTGCAAACTTAAAGCGTACACCTTTTTGCCTTGATTTTAAACAGCCGTTAGCTCACTTCTTGTCCTCCAGTGACAACAGCACTGAGAAGCATTGTCACTTTTGGACAAGTAGTGAGTTAAGACTACATAACTCTGGTTAGAACTACATAACTCATCCCTGTCTTCTCCACTTTAGTCCGCTGAGATTGCAGAAAACAATGCTATTTGATAAAAGTCCAGAATCAGAGAGTACTTTTCAGTTCACACGATTTTTTTTCTCTTGCTTGTTGAACAGATATTGTTAAATGCTTTCAGTGGTCTATTTAACAAACCAAAGGGAGCAAATAAGATACATTTATTGTTAGAGTTTACATACACTTTAAAATAGTTTTATGGAAAATTTTGGGCCTAAACACCCCAATTAAAAGGAAAAAGATTCTTTACGATCTTAAATGTTTTAAACCAGATATTGGGGAAATTCAATAAAGTCCTAGGGACACTTTTCTGACAGTGTGACTGTGACGATCGCAGCGTCAGACCCCTGCCCTTCTTACCAAACGTGACTGAAGGACTAGCCAATCTAAAACCGCGATGTCACGTGCGTAACAATGCCATGCTCATCTACACCCTGCACACCGATTTTCCAGCTAATGGACCACAATCTGTGTACTTGCAGCCTGAGCGCGATTGTTACTGGGTCAGGTTAATTACGCAATTAACTCTTCACTCTGCCACCACCTCCTTTTTGTAGAAAGAGGAAACTCGGCAATATCAGCAATACCACTAGGATGGTTGAAATAATCGTCTGTATACCACTGTCACCGCAGATAGGTTATACAGAGGGTTAAACACACATAGTAGTGCTCTTCAGCGGCAGGAATTTGTAAGTTGCATTAAAGAGCTTTAGAAACAGTTTAACACTTTCAGAAAAAAAGATTACTAAAAGGTCAAAAGGGTGCAATAAAAATATTTACAGAAAAAAGATGTAATCAATATATATATAAAATATACAGAGAACAATAGCACAGCAAAGAGAAACAGAAAGGAGTTTAAAGGGTTAAAGTATTTGCCAATCAGCCTTGGTTTAAGCAGTTTCAAGTTTTATGAGTTCAAAATGGATTTCTTGTCTCTACTGCTAGTTTCGATGTTAAAAGCAGATCTTCTCTTCTCTCATACACACCAAGCATAACAGCCTTTTTCTAGCAAATCCCAGCAGGGTGTCTCTTTGGAGTAGTAACCAATGGTATCATTTTGGGGAGGGAAGTGTAAGTGGAGATTTAAGTTATAATCAGAAACTCTCATAGCTTATATTTGGCCCATAACATTTCCTAGGTACATGTAACATCCCACCCACGGGTAGATTAATATGCGGAATTGTCTGCGGAAGATCTACATATGAAATATAACATACCTGCTGGGATGATTAAGGAGATTTTATTTTCTGCTCTCCTGTTGATCTCAGCTAGGGAATGTAATATACCAAACGGTTTGTCTTACC